TAGAACAGAATAATATTAGTTGTAAGATATAGTTTTATCTGTAAACATCTTGCAGAATAAAATAAAACAGAATAATATTAGTTGTAATATATAGTTTTATCTGTAAACATCTTGCAGAATAAAATAGAATAGAATAATATTGGTAAAAATATATATTTTGATCTGTACACTTATTGTAGAAAAAAATATACTGTGCAATTTGCATTTTAGAAAATTTAAAAATTTATACTGTGCAATATGCATTTTTAGAAAATTTAAAAATTAAATAATTTTAAATTTTGTTTGAAAAAAATTTAATAATTTTTTTCAATTTGTGGAACATTGGCCCATAGGCTTATATTTGAATAATAATATTTTGTAATTTCGAGTTAACCTGCACGCAAAGACTGCAATGTCTAAATCATCACAACGCGGTACCATTAAAACCTTAATCTGATCTGAAATGTGGAAGATATCGTCGTTTGTCTGACTCGAAAAGTGTTAATTTCTGTGCGCTTCTTCCATGCTTATTAAAAACAAGAAATGCGCAAATCACTTTCGCAGAGAACCCGCAAATGAAAAGAAAATAAACATTTTAAAGATACAAAAACATTGATAACTAATTCATACTTGATCAGACAAAGGCTTAAAGGGGAACCGTTGTAAATCTGTTATTGCCATCTTTGATTAGAGGATCAATTCAGATTACTCTTACAGTCCCATTAAATACTTTCTACTGTTTGATTTTGATTAAAAATTCACTCAAAATTAAGTTTCCTTTATAAATCTATTTGATCTCTTGAAATATTTAAAGAAAAATTTAATATTTTTTTCAATTTGTGGATTTTTGGCCCATATAGGCTAATATTTAAATAATAATATTTTGTAATTTCGAGTTAACCTGCACGCAAAGACTGCAATGTCTAAATCATCACAACGCGGTACCATTGAAACCTTAATCTGATCTAAAATGTGGAAGATATCGTCGTTTGTCTGACTCGAAAAGTGTTAATTTCTGTGCGCTTCTTCCATGCTTATCAAAAACAAGGAATGCGCAAATCACTTTCGCAGAGAACCCGCAAATTAAAAGAAAATAAACATTTTAAAGATACAAAAACATTGATAACTAATTCATACTTGATCAGACAAAGGCTTAAAGGGGAACCATTGTAAATCTGTTATTGCCATCTTTGATTAGAGGGTCAATTCAGATTACTCTTGCAGGCCCATTAAATACTTTCTATTGTTTGATTTTGATTAGAAATTCACTCGAAATTAAGTTTCCTTTATAAATCTATTTGATCTCTTAGTTGTAAAGGTCGTAAGAAAACTGAAAGAAGATTGTCATCATATTTCATAATCGCATAACGACACCCGTCCCAGCCTGTTCTGAGAAATGAAATTACAATCAAAGATAGATTTAATGGTACTGTTAGCAGTATTACAACTATATTTATTGATTTAAATGTTAGATTCACACGCTCCCTTTTAACCTTTCTCAAATTAAAATTCAAAGATCAATGAGATTTTAGGTCATTGAAAACTGATTATTTTTTATTAAAAATCGAATTATAGATGCAATTAAGGAAATTAACATAATTTAAAACTTTTATCAAAAAAAATATATTTTTTTTCTCTGTGTTTCTCAGTGAATTGTTTGAAGGGTACCATTGTGAACTTCAAACAATTATATCTAGAATAAAAGGGAAGGTTTAGGACTAAATCTCAGTTCCTACATCTGGCAGATAAAGCTTTATACGTAACGACATTAAATAATTATGTTTTAAACATTTTTTATGAAAATAATTTTGAGGTTTTTTTAGACAATAATGAGGTGAGAGAAAACAGCTATGCCATTTCCCCTTTGTATGTATTTGTAACATAACTTTTAAATTTTGGTTTGACAATTTGAAAATATGATAGAGTTTGAAAAAGATGGTTTTAATCTGTTCGGTTTCTCAATGAGGTATTTACTAAAGAGAGGGGATAGGGTTTTTATATTTCATTTGCAACCTTAATAATAGTGAGAGAGCGTCAAATTGTATTTCAGGGTTTATGTACACGTACTACGAATGTATGTTACTTTAAGCGGACCAAACTGTTCATATCCTCACATTGCTTTGTTTACATTGAAAACATACTGCGTACTTTAGAGAAAAAAGGTGGGGCCATTTTAAAATATTTTTTTAAGATAAGTAAGTAAAATTTATTTAGCGTTGCCCAGGATATTCATATTTCCTCCCGCCGTTTATCAGCACTTGGTCGTAAATTACGATTTTATCTATTTTTCGCTATTAAAGTCGACCCACTCAACTTGGAATCTCAAAACATTCCTATGGTTCTCCTGAGTTCCCCAATTAATATTTGATGCAAATCCGTCCAAGGGTTCATGCATTATGCTCGATCGGACATACAAACAGACAGACAAACAAACAGACACCCAGACATCAATACAGAGATTACAACTTTTTATATATAATATATAACCAATGACTATCATTTATATTTTGGTTGAAGGGTCTACAACAGTCACAACAGTCACAGCAGTTACAACAGTTACAACAGTGACATCAGTCACAACAGTCACAACAGTCACAGCAGTCACAACAGTCACAACAGTCACAACAGTCAGAACAGTCACAGAAGTCACAAAAGTCACAACAGTGACATCAGCCACAACAGTCAAAACAGTCACGTCAGTGCCTTAATTTCAATTCAAAGAATAACATTTCCGATTCAAAACAGAAACTTATTGAACGCTGGCCATTTCCTTCATTTTCTCTAGCATGCAAATCCGCAAGTCTTCTTCGCGCATAAAAATCATCATTGATAATTCAGTTAGAAAAAAAGAGTAGATATTACTCATCCTTGATGAAAAAGTCCCTATAAGCCCATAAAGTGAAAATACTGTGGATTTGGTTTGTTTACAATTGCAAGATAATAAATACTGGTTTATACCAGATTATGCAGATTTAATTTACCAATTATACAAACATGTTTCGCTTTTTTCTTTTTATATTGTTTTTTTTTTGGCGGCTCTGTTTCTAGTTAAAAAAAAACTCTGTAGATTTAAAGATTATATTGAATTAACAAGAATAGAAAGTTAAATTCATTAAAGAAACCGAGCGCAATTAGCCCTTCGGTTAGTCCTGAGGGAGAAACTAGAAAATAGTAACAGTACTTAGTAACAGTACTTAGTAATAGTACTTAGTAACCTTACTTAGCAACAGTACTTAGCAACAGTACTTTGTAACAGTACTTTGTAACAGTACTTAGTAACAGTACTTAGTAACAGTACATAGTAGCAGTACTTAGTAATAGTGATTTGTAACAAGACTTAGTAACAGTACTTAGTAACAGTACTTAGTAACAGTACTTAATAACAGTACTTTGTAACAGTACTTTGTAACAGTACTTAGTAACAGTACTTAGTAACAGTACTTTGTAACAGTACTTAGTAACAGTACTTAGTAACAGTACTTAATAACAGTACTTTGTAACAGTACTTAGTAACAGTACTTAGTAACAGTACTTAGTAACAGTACTTAGTAATAGTACTTAGTAACCTTACTTAGCAACAGTACTTAGCAACAGTACTTAGAAACAGTACTTAGTAACAGTACTTAGTAACAGTACATAGTAACAGTACATAGTAACAGTACTTAGTAACAGTGATTTGTAACAATACTTAGTAACAGTACTTAGTAAAATACTTAATAACAGTACTTTGTAACAGTACTCAATTCCTTTGTCTCAAATTCAAGTTCTGTATTTCACAAATAGACATATTTAGATATATTTAAATATATTTAAATATATTTTTATAAATTTAGATATATTTAGATATCTTTTTAGATATCTTCAGATATATTTAGATATATTTATATATATTCAGACATATTTAGATATATTTAGATATATTTGGATATATTTAGAATTACTTAGATTTATATAGAAATATTTAGAAATATTCAGATATCCCAAGTTATCTTAAGATACATTTAGTGAAATATTTACTCCTCTAGTATCCAACGCGCATACCATTCAGGAGATATTAACGCTACGGGGCGCCCTGAGATCCGGTCTACAGGCTGTTTCTTATTTTATTTTGTATTACAGGGTGTCTTTTTTTTACTTTGACTACCCAATGTGTTCCAGAATACTTTTCTTTATTTACAGGGTTTCCCATGATCCTTTTTTAATATATTACAGGGTGGCCCAGGATGGTTTTCTTAATTTAATACTTGCAAATTCATGACAACTTGGAGTTCTGAAATTTTAAGAATTTTATCATTCTAATACAGCAATATAAAGTAATATTTATCAATGCTTTTATGACTTTAACTCTTAACTAAATGAATTTAGAACAAATATAAGGGTTTAAGAAAGATTTAAGAAGGAGTTTGCAATCATCCAGAATAAAAAATGTTATAAAAAATTAAGCTTTATCGGGTTTATAGGTCTTTTTAAAAGCTAAAAAAAAAATCATTCACCAAACCCGTACTGCAGTCATATTCTATATACGGTATCCCATTTATCTTTTTCTTTATATTGTGAAGTAACTGCAGCTTGAATTTCGTAATTTTAAGAATTTATCATCTTAAGTTCTAAATCCTTAAAACAGTTGAAAAAATGCAAATTCTACAGAAAAAGTACAAAGAGAAATTCGAAAAATATTTGTGATAAACATTGAAAATATTTTTTTACAAAAATTCTAAATACTTTTCCAAAAAGAATTCAAAGATTTTTGTTAAATCATAAAATTGGTTTGTCATTTTACGCGCCTTGGTTAGAAAAATGCTCAAGGCAGAAATTGTGTGCGTCGGAGAAATTCAGGCAACGCGCACACAACACACAGCTGAGAATTTTCACATGGTGAAAAAAATATATTTCAATTTTTAATTTTTTAAAATCTTATCATCAAATATATAGCATCAAACTTATATAACTAAAAATCAAGATAAAATAAAAATAAAGTATAGAAAGTTGAATAAGTTTAACCCCTGTGCGCTTCTTTACGAGAAAGTCTCGGCAACGCCCAGAAATGTGCGCGCGCAGTATGTATATAATGGCTATGTGCGCATCTCAACAGATATAGTTGCAACACAGAGCTCGAGATGAAACTCCTGGTAAACACTTTTTATAATATCCTTTGTAAATTTGTCTTTTTTCACTCTTTAGCTTCAATGCTTTTATAAGATTAAAAGCAAACATTTTCTTTCTAAAGGTTAAAAACTTTTATCATCTTGATTTTTTATATATTAAGTGCATATTTTGGACTGGTTAACAAAGGTCTTCATTGTTTGTAAAAAGAAACATCATTTTGGACTAAAGTTATAAGAAAAATAATATTAGAGAGAAAATTTTAATTACACTTTTAAATAATTCTTAAAAGCTGCAGTCTTTCAAAATCATAATTTAGGGCTTGAAAAAATCCAACTAGTGCAGTTTAAAAGAAATGCTTCAATTTTTGTTTTAAATTATACTTGATACTTTCAGTATGCATCTTAAAAGCTCTAAGGAGAAAGAAAATATTCTCCGATTATAAAACTAATTTCTCTTTGTTTTCTAGTTGGTGTTTGTCGCTGCCGTCAGTGCCGCCCCTGAGGCTGACCCCCAGTTTGCCTACGCCGTGGGATCCAGCCCACTGGTATATGCTGCTGCCCCCTACCCACTTGTACACCACGCTGTACAGTACACCGTCCCTGCAACCGGATGCAGAAACGATGCCGGCGCTATTGTTCCCTGCGCTGGAGCCGTTCCCTTTGTTGCCCCCTTTGCCGCTCCTTTGTCCGTAGTTGCACCTGCTGCTGTTGATGAACCTGCTGCAGATGAGTCTGCCGTTGTGGTTGAGAGGAAGAGGAGAGAAGCTGAAGCTGAACCTGAAGCTGCTGCTGATGCTGATGCAGAGGCTGATCCTTGGCTATTGTATGGAGGTTATGGATATGCTGCTCCTTATGCCTACCATGGATACTCTCCCTACGCCTACCACAGAGGTTACTACGGACACTACCCCTACGCCTATGCCCATCCCTACGCCCACTACTCCTACTTTGGTAGAAAGAAGAGGGATGCTGATGCTACACCTGAAGCTGATGCTGATGCTTACTATGGATACCCTTATGCTTATGGATTAGGATATGCTGCTCCCTACGCCTATGGATATGCTGCTCCCTACGCCTATGGATATGCTGCCTATGGTGGATGCAGAAACAACTACGGAGCCCTTGTCCCTTGTGCCGGCAGATAATTTTAAAACTGGGAATTTTTATTAAAATTTTTGGCTTTTTCATTCTTTGAATAAATAAATTTTATGTTATATTTTCATAATTTTTGTCAGTAATGTGTGAATTCACTAAACATGTGGTCATATCTCTAAACAGTGACACAAGTTCATAACAACAGCCGATCATAAGAACTTGTATATAAAACTAGATTTGTAATAAAATAAAAGGAAAAAGTTGTCAAAGTTAAATGGAGAATTAGATCAGGGATAAAATGTGGAGAAAACATTGTATTTCTGGTAAAAGACTCTTTCTTAGTTTCATAAACAGAAAAAAATGAAAGGTTGATTCTATTTAAATAGAGGGTCTCCTGAACTTATATAATCATTTCCTTTGATAACTAAGCACCCCCCCCCCC